CTAAAATATCTCATTTTCTTAGGAAAAGAGTGGATGCTAACTACCTAAGTACAATACAATCTTGTTTGGAAATCAAACAAGGTACATGATGGGTTAAGCACAATATCTGAAGATAAGAAAAAGTCTAAGATAAATATGGGCTAATCCTATACCTGTTGGTACAGATGTAGATTATTCTCCACATATGGAGATAAATTTTGGATAATTTTTGCTCGTGTACATCAGCATCAAGGAATTTAATCTGAGGAGAAAATAATAATAAAAAAATCAAAGAGAAATCATAATTGCAGCAAGGTGTATTATTTAATGCATTAAAGATCAGAACAGGCTCCGACAAGTATGTATTTTAGACAGTTAAGTTGAGATAATAATTGTCTATTTAGGAATGAAATATTTTGGGAAATATTAAAAAGGCAGAATATTATGTTTCCCTGGATAAGAAATGGAGAAGCATGTTTTAAAGACGAAGCAGCTCCCATCTTCCTGCCCCCATCCTTTGCCAATGGGCCAGAGGCAGAAACTCAATCTTTGTCAATGGACCATCATCTGCAACACAATAGGACCCATCTAGCAACAGAAACTAACACAATAGGACCCATATAGCAACAGAAACTCACCACATGGCACCTGGGAAGATTACATCAGCCAGCAAGGCTAGCTGAGACCCCCACCCCCTGGGAGTCTGACAACCAATCAGGATACTCTTTCTGGGCTCCAGGAAGTTCAAAGCCAGAGAGGGCATAAAAACCCCGGGACTCACTGCGTCTCGCCTTTTTCTGTTCAGGAACTCAAACCATGTGATCCTGTCCACCATTAAACCATCTTTCCAAGCAGTCTCCATGTTTCCAGTGTCTTTTTCCCCACTTGGAGCTGAACCCAGAAGGATATTTCTTCGTACAAGAGGTTATGCAATAAATGCAGAAACTTCAGTTTTTGGAGGATAGCTTTCACTACGTTTAACTCACCCATGTTGAAGAAGAAGGAAAACTTTACCCTCTTACACATATGTAATCACTTAAGATGTTCTAACATATGTTCTTTGTGTGTTGTTTGTGATCTTGGTAAGGGAGCTTATCTTGGTCCTCCTGTCTGGCTCCAGACAACACAGGTGGCTGATTTGCACAGAGACCATCATTGTTTCCTGCAGACACAGGGAAAGGTGGCCAAAATAGGCACAGATTGCAAAAGCTTTGCAACAGTAAAAGCAGATTACTTGTAAAGTCGTCTCTGACCCATCGCGACCCCATGGACAATGTTCCTCCAGGCCTTCCTGTCCTCTACCATTCCCTGGAGTCCATTTAAGCTCATGCCGACTGCTTCAGTGACTCCATCCAGCCACCTCATTCTCTGTCGTCCCCTTCTTCTTTTGCCCTCAATCTTTCCCAGCATTAGGCTCTTCTCCAATGAGTCCTTCCTTCTCATTAGGTGGACAAAGTATTTGAGTTTCATCCTCAGGATCTGGCTTTCTAAAGAGCAATCAAGGTTGATCTCCTCTAGGACTGACCAGTTTGATTGCCTTGCAGTCCAAGGGACTCGCAGGAGTCTTCTCCAGCACCAGAGTTCAAAGGCCTCAATTCTTTGGCGCTCAGCCTTTCTTACCTGCTTACTTACTTACTTGCTTGCTTTCTTACTTACTTACTTGCAGATTACTAAAATAGCTTTTATGCAGAGAAAGGCTCGGATAAAGAACATGAAAGGTTTTGTGGGGAGATTTTTCCCCTCTCTGCATCTATGTATATTCTGAGACCTTTTGCAAACTGCCTACATGCAACAGATAGCAAGAGTGGGGTGGGTGACTGGGGAAGCTGAAGTGCGCACATCTCTTCAAAGAAATTATTTCTAAAGCTTTTCTCGTGCGCAAATGATCTTGTTTCCTTCCACCAGGAGTCACTCTCCATTCACAATTCTTTCTCCGCGGGTAGCGACTCATTGTCTGTGTCTCTCCTCTGAGCTGGGACTCAGCTGGAAAGAACAGGTTTGCAAGCGTTGCTCGTGCGGACAGAGTTGAGATTTTTCTGAATAAAATCCTGCAATGCTGTTGATGATTACCCTCACCTTTCTATTTTTAGGAAGTCCCTCTCCTTTTTAAAGTCCTAGCCGGCAACCTGTTGTAGGAACTGCCTAACAATGCCCCTCATTCATTGAATTTTAGAGAAGCGAAAAACCAGATTTCTCAGTTTGGAATAAATGCAAATGTATATTGCTGAACAAGAGCCCTAATTTATGAAGATTTCCCATGTTTTGAGCATGGGAAAAAGGTAATCCATGTATTTTGATAGCAGTGTTCCAATATCTCAGGGGCTGCCACAAAGAAGAGGGAGTCAAACTATTCTCCAAAGCACCTGAGGGCAGGACAAGAAGCAATGGGTGGAAACTAATCAAGGAGAGAAGCAACTTAGAACTAAGGAGAAATTTCCTGACAGTTAGAACAATTAATCAGTGGAACTACTTGCCTCCAGAAGTTGTGAATGCTCCAACACTGGAAGTTTTTAAGAAGAGGTTGGATAACCATTTGTCTGAAGTGGTGCAGGGTTTCCTGCCTAAGCAGGGGGTTGGACTAGAAGACCTCCAAGGTCCCTCCCAACTCTTGTTATTCTCTATTTTGAAGCAAGAACATGTTCTGCTCAGCTCTGATTGGCATGGACCTCTGATGCCATTCATCCTTTTTTTAATCTTGCAGATTGTTTTTTGAGGCAAGTTGGCCCTTAAAAATACATTTTTGTTCAAGAAAGGAAGGAAGGAAGGAAAGGAAGGGAAAGGAAAGGAAAGGGAAGGAAAGGGAAGGGAAGGAAAGGAAAGGAAAGGGAAGGGAAGGGAAGGGAAGGGAAGGGAAGGGAAAGGAAGGGAAAGGAAATGGAAGGGAAGGGAAGGGAAGGGAAGGGAAGGGAAGGAAAGGAAAGGAAAGGAAAGGAAAGGAAAGGAAAGGAAAGGAAAGGAAAGGAAAGGAAAGGAAAGAGAAAGATGATAAGCACTTTAAGTGGAAAGAACACATAAGGGATATCTGTAGATGGTGGGAATGGAGAAAAAAGTTTACCAATTGTACCAGCAGATAATTTACAAGTGAACCAAGTTAGATTAAAATATAAAAATTTGCTTCAGTGTCACATAGTTAGGCCAGGTGAATTGTGGACCATGTTCCATAACATTAATTTTCCATAACAGTTAATTTTCCTCCAGATTTATACAGACTGAAGAATACTTATACAGATATATAAAGACTGCCACATTCCCACCCACCCATCCTCATCACCACCCATGGTCATTGCATTTGGGGCATTTTACAGCAGACTCCTCTTTATGGCCGATTGCATTTAACGACCACCGCAAAAGAAAGTCAAAAAAGTGGATCCAGTAACATGATGCCTCATCTTAACAACTGCAAAGGCTTACAACTGTAATTCTGGGCTCAGTAATGGTCATGAGTTGAGGATTATTTGTAACACTATCTCTGTTTGATGATTTTTGCAGTTGGTGACTGTGGGTGGTTGACCCGAATCTTTCTCTTTGCTTGGCTTCCCTGTTTTACTCCCTGTTGCAATGTTACATCATTCTTTTCCTTGAATCTTCTGACTAAGCAACGAGTTGGTTAAAAACTCCGCAGCAGAAACAAGAACAATACTCGTGATGACAAAGGTTGATGTTATAAACGAACGTCTATTTACTTATTCTAATTTATTAACAATACAGTGGCATAGGAACAGAAGCACAATACCTTCAGGGTTATTTAATTAGACTGACTATGTCGAATGTGGAACACCCAAATATTATGTCTTTGTTTACTGTAAATAAGTTTAAACCAGGTGAAGTAAAAAAATACGTTATCAAAAATTTCCATTGGGGGGGGTGTCAGTTTTTCCATTAGCACACTAGCCACACCTTATGGTGATATTCAAATCATTTCCTAGGTTCTTGCTGCAGCCGATCAGGTTGCCCCTAATTAAAAAAAAATCCTATCGATTCTTTATGTCTCAAAAATGCCATTTGGGTTACCAAGAAACCTTAGGCCAGTGACTCTCAACCTTCCTAATGCTGCGACCCTTTAATACACTTCCTCATGTTGTGGTGACCCCCAACCATAAAATTATTCCTAAAACCATTGAAAATATGTGTTTTCTGATGGTCTTAGGCGACCCCTGTGAAAGGGTCGTTCGACCCTCAAAGGGGTCCCGACCCACAGGTTGAGAACCACTGCCCTAGGCCAACGTAGGATTCAATATAATGGTCTAAGTGGTGCTTGGTATCTTATTTTCATTAAAAAAAAAAAGTTATGGTTTGAAAAACCTGGACAACTTTCCAAGACTTTGATAGACAACTTTCTAAGAGCCTTGATAGTACAGTGGTTTAGTGCACCCTGTTATTAACACAGCTGCCTGCAATTTCTGCTGGTTCGAATCTCTCCAAGGCTCAAGGTTGACTCAGCCTTCCATCCTTTCTAAGGTAGGTGAAATGAGGACCCAGTTTGTGGGGGCAATAAGCTGACTTTGTATAAAATATACAAAAGAATGAAGGCTATTGCTTAACGCATTGTAAGCCGCCCTGAGTCTCCGGAGAAGGGCGGCATATAAATCAAATTAAAAAAAAAGAAAAAAAAGACCACCCCATAAACTAGAGGTCTTCTGGGCATCTGCTATTCCACCTTCTCTTCCAAATCTTCCTTGCCAGCCTGAGTCAGAGAGCAGAGGATATAGAACAGTATTTCTCAACCTTGGTAGCTTGAAGATGGGTGGACGTCAACTCCCAGAATCCCCCAGCCAGCAGCGCTGGCTGGGGGTTTCTGGGAGTTGACGTCCACCCATCTTCAAGCTTCCAAGGTTGAGAAACACTGGTGTAGAAGATAAGCCACCCTAATCCCCTCTCCTTTGAGAACAGAAAGAGTTAACCGCTCCTTCCCCCCCCCCAGCTCTGCTTTTCCATTGGGTGACTGCAAATCTTTCTCTCCCCCCCCCCCCCTCCCCTCTGTGATTTATGTTCTTTGGAAGAGCCAACCAATCAAGCTTCATCGTGCTCCTGGGGTGCCCACATTGGCGAAACTGCCAGCTGGGGAAAAATTGTTACCGCTGCCCATTTCATTTAATCTCTTCTCATTACTTCTCTCCCATCTTCTGTCAGCCCAAGAGGAGAGACAGGAGGAAGCTGTGTGGAGGGTCTTTTTGGGGGTGGGGGGTGGGAAAGCAGGGTCCCCCAGGTGTAAACTTGGTAAACCAGCCTCTCTTCCCTCCCTTCCTTGCCATGGAGAAACCCACTTGCAATTCGACGCACAGCAAGAAGGCGATCCAACCCCTTCATTATCTCAGGTAAGTGGCTGGGCACTGAAAAGGGGGTGAACCATTGCCATGTCTTCCCCTCCTGGCAGGGCTCCTGTGCCTGCTGGGATGGGGGGCAGAGGTGAGTCACCCCTGTGCCCGTTTTTTTTTTTCTGAGTTGAAAGGAACAGCCTTAGTTTGGATGCTAATTGTCCCAGGCAAAGCCAGCGTGGGAGAATCCTAGCTAGGAAGGAGCGTTCAGACACCAACTGGGTTATTGAGTTGCCAACTGATGGAAACAAGAGTTGGGCCAAAGAGGGAAACCCAGCCTGTGAACGTTGCACCCTATTTGCATAGGGGGGAAAGAATGTTATTTTGGGGGGGTTGCTGAGCAAGGATGGATAATATAGCTTGGGGTTTTAAATTGGGAGGCTGATTAATTTAATTTATTTTTAGTTATCTTAACTTTTATATTGTATGTTATTTTAATTTTCGGCTGTTCACCGCCCTGAGTCCCTTCGGGAAGAAGGGCGGGATATAAATTCAATAAATAATAATAATAAAAAAAATAATGCAGTGGCTGAGATGAACAAAGAGCGAAATTGTTGCTAGCTCCTCCAATACAAATGAGCAAATCAGAAAAATATGATAGTACTAGTGCTGACCCCTTCTTTTCCCCCACCCACCCACCCCCCAACTTCCCCCCTCCCCACATGCAGTTGCATGCTGCAAGTGTCATTATTGTACAGCGGATAACATTTTCGAGTAGGACCGGGGAGATCCCTGCTTACCCCCTAAGTTTGTTGTTGAGTTTGGGGACCATCCCCACCTGACTAGGCTGTGCAGAGTAGAAAGGAAGGATGGGGACTAAAAATAAACCAGTTAAGTCTCTTTTGCACACCTGATACACATTTTGGCTGCACCTTCATGAGCACCGCACGGCGCAGAGCAGAAGGATGCAGCGGGCGCTGTTTGCAAGTTTTCTTTCTCTGCCTCGGTCCACAAGCACATTCTCAAAAAACTCTAACCCCCCCCCCAGCAGTGAGAAGAGGAGGTGGGGGTTTTAACACCCCTTCCTTTCCCCATTTCCTGGAGCAGGAATGGCAACCAAAATTGTTCCACCCTCTTTGCAATTTGACAGTGGAGTTGTGTGAATAGCTTGGTGTACCCCTTTGCCACCGATCACCATAGTGACCATCAGGGAGCCGCGTTCATGAGTGAAATGTGGGTGGTGAGGTGTGCAAGGAAGGGAGGGCATTTTCCTTCCCACGGTTAACGGTTTGATTGCTGGCAAAGGCTGGCGTCCTTCTGAATCCAAGCTTATAACGTCGGTTTTAATTTGACTGCTGGCTAGAATTTTAGTCTTCCACGGATTTCCCAGAATAAGAGGTTTCAAACCAGGAAGGAAAAAAAAAACCTGTAAGGAGGGGAAAAAAACTGAAAAGAAAAGATCTTCCAAGGGAGGAGAAAAAAGGATGGATGCCCCAAAGCACATGCATTTATATAGAATAGGGCCAATGCACTTTCATGCATTTAGAAATCTCTAGGTTCTTTGCAGGACTGCCGTTTGCAAGAGGGCACAGCCGACTCTAAAGAATTCTCTGCCACTGAATCGTCTTGACAACAAAGCGTGAGGAAGATTCCTTTTTAGGAGAATTTATAAGATAGGATTCCCTGCTTTTGCTCCAAAATGGGGGTGGGGGGGGTAAGAAACCCACTCGATATATACTCACAATCCTACAAAATAGCTTCTAGGGCTCAGGAAAGGAGACAATGTGGTGGAAGTTTTCTTTTTTAAAAATAAAAATGAAGTGTTGCCATTATGATGAGCAGCACGGGGATTAAATATCCAGAGGTAGAGAGAACCAGTGGCTTTAGGGCAAACAGAAGTCACCAGGATCTGCTTGTGCGCTGCTGTATTGTTTGAATCAGATTAGTTCTCTTGAACAAAATCCTCCTGTTTCCCCGTTACTGTAGCAACAGATCCAAAGGATCCATCAAGCTGGGAAGCTTGTTTTTTGGGGAGTCTCTTTCAGAAAGAAAAAGAGGGGGAAAAGTCTCTGGAAGTGCTTTCCAGCAAAGTGCCAACAATTCTTTTCCAATTGCATAGGCCGGGGATTATGGGAATGAAAGTCAGATAAGGGAAAACGGTGTAAAAATGAACATTAATGCAAGTAGGCTTTCATTCATGATCACAATTGGGACCAGAATTTCTGTTGATAAGCAAAGCAGTTGTTAAGTGAGTCGCAGCTGATTTTACCATCTTTTTTTGTCAGTGTTGTTAAGTGAATCTGGTGGTAGTTAAGCAAATCCAGGTTTTCCCATTGACCTTGCTTGTCAGAAGCTGGCTGGAAAAGTCATAAATGGTGATCATGTGACCCCCCCCCCAGCCCCGAGACATTGCAACCATTGTAAGTACATGCCAATTGCCAAGCACCTGAATTTTGGTCACCTGACCTTGGGGATGTTGCAACTGTCATAAGTACGAGGAGCAGTCATAAGTCACTTTTTCCTTGCTGTTGTAACTTTGAATCGTTACTAACTGAATTAGAGGTGGGACTGGAGAACCGGTAGCAGAAATTTTGAGTAGTTCGGAGAACCGGTAGTCAAAATTCTGACTGGCCCCGCCCCCATCTATTCTCTGCCTCCCGAGTCCCAGCTGATCGGGAGGAAATGGGGATTTTACAGTATCTTTCCCCTGGAGTGGGGTGGCAATGGAGATTTTGCAGTATCCATCCCCTGGAGTGGGGTAGGAATGGAGATTTTACAGTATCCTTCCCCTGCCATGCCCACCAAGCCATACCACACCCACCAAGCCACACCCACAGAACCGGTAGTAAAAAATTTTGAAACCCACCACTGAACTGAATGGTTAAAAGTCTGTAGAGATTCTCAGTCATCCAGGTCATGGTTATCCCCAAAGTGCTTTTTTTCAGGAGGCTGCTGGACTTTCTTGTTTTTTCTTTGAAGATCTTTCGTTTCTCATCCAAGAAGTTTCTTCAGCTCTGACTGGATGGTGGGGAATGGAAGGATTCGAAAAGGATTCAAAGAAAAAACAAGAAAGCCCAGTTGCCTCCTAAAAAAGGACCTTTGGGACCACCATGACCTGGATGACTGAGAATCTCTACAGACTTTCATATAATACTAACTAGATTTCTCCTAGATAAATAAAACACAATTAAATATGAATGTTAAAAGTATCTCTGTTAAAATACCAATGTCTAGGCCCGTGATGGCAAACCTATGGCACGCGTGCCACAGGTGGCACGTGGAGCCATATCTGTGGGCACGCGAGCATTGCCCTAGCTCAGCTCCAGCGTGTATGTGCGTGCCGGCCAGCTGATTTTTGGGCCTTCCGGTCCCACCGGAAGTTGGGAAACGGGCTGTTTCCGACCTCCGAAGGGACTCCAAGGGGGTGGGGAAGGCTGTTTTTGCTCTCCCCAGGCTCAAATAAAGCCTTTGGAGCCTCAGGAGGGTGAAAAACGGGCCTACCGGGCCCACCGGGCCATCGCGTGCCAAAAGCGGAGGGAGTGGAGTGTGTGTCATGCATGCATTGTATTATGGGTGTGGGCACATGCATGCGTGACCCCTCTGTGCTCCCCCCGCTTTTGACATACGACGGCAAAAAGGTTAGCCATCCCTGGTCTAGGCCATCTAACCATTGAAGTGCAGCATTGTTTATATGAAAAAAAATCAGATACTAGACCAATATATGCCCTCAGCTTACAGCCAGTCATAATGTGATCTACAGCAGTGCCCCCCCCACACAACCATTTGGATCCCACGGACGGGTTCTGTGGAAGGTGGTTTTTCTGTGAACTGGGATGTGTGTGGGTTTTTTGTGCTGCCTGGATCCCACGCCTGCATGAATGGGGCTTTGCTTGCTTGTGCAGCTTGGTTCCTAGTGGGCCGTGGACCAATGCCGGTCCACGCACGGGGGTTGGAGACTCCGATGTACAGTTGGCGTGGGACCCCACAGTCACACTAAGAGGATACTGTGCCCCATTTATACAGGGGGTCCTGGCAGACGCTGTGTGAGGTGCATATACAGGTACATATTATTATTATTATTATTATTATTATTATTATTATTATTATTATTATTTAATCTTTAGTGAGATTCACAGCCTTTGAGGCTGGTTAACAGCTCAGCAGCTCGAGTCCTAACCAAGGACCTAGGAACCGTTAAGGTATCGTCGGAGGATGTAAGCTGTTCCGAGTAAGGTGGTTTTTTTTGTAGAGTCAAAATGTTCAAGTCCGGCAAATTTAGAATTTCTAAATAGCGGGGTAGCCCTTTGGGTATTGCTCCAAGGGCTCCAATTACAATCGGGACAACACACAATTTCTTTTTCCACAGTCGCTCAACTTCAATTTGCAAATTCCGGTACTTTGTGATTTTTTCTTGCTGCTTATCTTCAATCCGTGCATCACCAGGTATTGCAATGTCAATGAACCATACTTGAATATATCATACCATACTTCTTCTTCTTCTTCTTCTTCTTCTTCTTATTATTATTATTATTATTATTATTATTATTATTATTATATTGGTTAATCTTTAGTGAGATTCACAGCCTTTGAGGCTGGTTAATAGCTCAGCAGCTCGAGTCCTAACCAAGGACCTAGGAACTGTTAAGGTATCGTCGGAGGATATAAGCTGTTCCGAGTAAGGTGGTTTTTTGTAGAGTCAAAATGTTCAAGTCTGGCAAATTTAGAAGTTCTAAATAGCGGGATAGCCCTTTGGGTATTGCTCCAAGGGCTCCAATTATTATTTGATCCAATTATTAGTTGAATTTATATGCCGCCCTTCTCCGGAGACTCAGGGCGGCTTACAATGTGTTAAGCAATAGCCTTCATACTTTTGTATATACCTGCTTAGTAGGGCTTTTGCCTCCCCCCCAGCAGTGTTCTTTTTTATACAAAGTCAGCTTATTGCCCCCACAATCTGGGTCTTCATTTTACCTACCTCGAAAGGGTGGAAGGCTGAGTCAATCTTGATCCTTGGTGAGATTTGAACTTGCAGTAATTGCAGGCAGCTGGTGCTAGTTAAC